GGGAGGGGGAGAGGGAGGGGGAGGGGGAGAGGGAGGCAAATGTAAACGAGTAAAAATGAAAACAATGAACAACTATAAACCAGAGATATTTTATGGGAGTGGGAGGGGAAACGGGATCGGAACTGAGGTGGGAAGAGGGCACTGGACTGTGGTGATGACACACAGGTGAATTGGTGGTGAGAAGCCCATGGGAATTACAACTGAGATGGGAAAATGCACAAAATGAAGAATGATGTCAAAAAAAATTTAAAAAATATATAAAAAAATTTAAAGAATTCTAAGGTAAATCTACCTCCTGCCAATCTCTGTGACTTTTCCAGCTTACCCTGCTGGTCTGAAGCTAATGTGAGCACCTGCTCCATCTCTGTGCCGGAATTCAGAGTAATGGGGCATGATAGGGGTCCCTAAGGACTTCAGAGAAAGAATAAAGAAGAACTGAAGCCTGCCGGCGCCTGTATTTGGCTGGGAGGGCCGGAGTAGCACAGAGAGGCTACTCATTGCCCTACATAGGAGACACTTCCTGCTCTGGCCCCAAACTCCAACTGCCACTGGGTAGGAAGAATGAACCACAAATAGCTCCCTGACTCCTAACAGAGGCTGTCCCTTCCAGCGAGCCCAGGCACTAATGAGAGGCTTCCAGAATGTTCTTTCACTGCCTGATGTTTGCAAAGGTTCCACTTCTATCCTCTAGATTATGATTCAGCCACCATCATTCATACAGTTATTTTCACACATCCCCTTGCAAACTTACAAACTGTGAGCCCTGTAAATCCCAGGTTCAAAGAACTCTCTGACTGAGGCATCTTCCCAGGGCTCGTCTTACTCCCGGCCTACCCAAAAAGGAAAAAAGCTCTTTGAAAACTAAAAGAATTGTAACATTATAAGTAAAAAAATACAGTGCCTTAGCAACCTATAGTACCTCATAATTTATAATGCATTTTTACTTTCTCCTCTCAATAACCTTGTAAGATTTCATTATCCCCATTTTAAAAGAGGAAGGAGAGGTGGTACACAGCGGGGTGACACTCTCTTCTTAAAACCCTCCAAGCCAGACACAGTATGGCGATTCCTTAAAACTCTAAAAATGGAAATGCTGTATGAGGCAGCAATACCACTACCATGCCCTAGGTATTCATATGAAGAAGATGAAGCACTTCTATGAGAAGATTCATTCCCACCTGTGCTCATAGCTGCAATAGTCACAAGGGCCAAGAACCTAGATACAGGCTGGAGAAAGAAGCGGTGGTCTATATACTGATGGAATACTACTGAGTTACTAAAAATATAAAAAAAAACAGTGCCTTAGGGACAAGGTGCATGGATCTTGAGTAGATTAGGTAAAATGAAAGAGTCAGGAAGTGAAAGACAGATGCTGGATGGTTTTGCTCATTTGTGGCATATAAATTACGAAACAAAGCCAAGTGTCAAAACACAATAGAAATAACCTTGCTGCTCTGAAATCTATGGTGGTTACCAGCTGGGAGGATGGGGAGTCGAGGGAGAGGAGGAGGGAGGGGTGATGGGAGGTGGGCACTGAGCAACAGTCTCACTGAAGGGTGAGACTGTTCTGCTCAGGTGTAAAGTTGTAAGCCCAAAAGTTAAGCAGTCTTGAAAACAAACAGCAAATCAATAAAATTTGATAAAAAAAATGTGTATTAAAGGAAAAAAATCTCCGAGCCAAGCAACTTCTCATTCTGGTTACCGCTTTGGGACTCCTCGCTGCAAATGACTGGCCTGCTTCCACCTGCCTTGTCACGGGTGCACCGCCAGCCGCCTCCTCTGCTGGCCCGCTGGGCTGGCACTCGGCAGGTGGCCCCTGGCCTGTCTTTTCCTCTCCTCCCCTTGACTTCCCAGGCTCCCAAAATGGAACACAACTGCACTTTAATCGCTCTTTATGCTTCTGCCAACTTGCCTGGGCTCCCCCAGATGCCTCCTTACTTTAAGCAAATGCTTTTGCATTGCTCAGGGAATAGTTTAATCCTTTTCTCCCTCTTTACATGTTAATGCTCTGATTTACAGCAACAGTGTGAGACAGGAAGAAAAAGGAAGGAAGCCAAGGAAGTTCCTTCTGTTTTACAGTGGAGGGGTAGTGACTGGGAGGGGACGGCGGGGGGGGGCCGGCTGGGATGCTGGCAAGGTTCTATTTCTGGAACTGGGTGCTGCTGACACAGGTGTGCTCACTTGGAGAAGGTTCACTAAGCTAGGTACGTGTGATTTGTGAGACTTCTTTCCGTGTGCTAGATTTCAGCTGAAAAACTCTGCCAAGGGACTAGACAGTTTGGAGGTGGGGGTTAGCAGGTGATGGCTGGAGAGCCTAGTGTGGAAGAAGTCCCACATCAGGAGAGGAATTCTACTGGATTCCTCAAAGGTGACTTCCAACTTCTAGAGCATAGGTCTACGGAGGCTTCAGGTTAGCACAGCAGCACCAACAAAGAGCTGCTGATGGAAAGCCACAGCTGGAAAAGGGCAACGACCACAGACTCAAAGACTGTCACTCCCCCACCTTCAGGGGGCATGGCTACTACACCAAGGAGGGAAACTGCACCATCGCCACGATCACGTGACCACCAATATGTCGACCAAGAACATCTTGACTTCTAGGTAGCCTTTTTCCATTTCACTATGTAAGAGTCAAACCCAGGGGGCTGAGTTCTGCTCCCTTATATATCAAAGAGCTTGCGATTCATAGCCACCTGCTGTAAATCTTCTAAATAGTTTCCTTGCAAGAAGGGATGGAAATCGAGAAATGAAGAGTAATAAACTTGATATGCATACTCTGAGAGCAATCCGTGAATTTGAAAAGACTCACTGTTTCCTGGACATGTCATGTATTTTCAAATCTCCAGCTACATGGATATACTGCTCCTTATTCCAGAGGCTCTTCCATTCTTGGTTTATCTAGGAAACTCTACCATCTTTCAGGGCAGAGCCCGAAGGCCACTTCTTCAGTGATGTATTTTCTGTCCACCCCAGAGAGAACAAGTGGCCCTGGCCCAGTGTCTAGAGCATTCTATATGCAAATCGAATGGAATCCATCACTTCACAGTACGATAGGTATTTCTGATTTTCTCTAAGGCAGGTTTGGACACTTGTTCCAACTAATCCCTGCTGCCTGGCCCACTGCCCATTACATCGAAAGCATGCCTGGATGAAGGGGCCACTTAACTGATCTCAATATCTCATGCAGCCATCACATAAAATAAGCTTCCTCTCTGAAGGGTCGTTTAAAACAGCTCTTTGGACCTAAAACAAGAAAGAACCAAAATGTTTCTTCACAGGTGGGTCACTGAGCCACACCAAAAAACATAACTCAGCAACAAAGAGGACCAAACTCTTCCTTCATGCAACGTGTGTGTCTCGAGAGCATTCTTCTGAGTGGGAAAAGTTAAGCTCCAGAGGTCGTAAACTGAGTGATTCTATTGTAGTACATTTCCCAAATTATAAAGCCATAAAAACAGAGAGCAGAATAGTGGCTACTGGAGGTTAGGGATGGTGGAGATGTGGGTGGAAGATAATGGTAGCCTGAGGGGGTCCGTGGGTAATGAGACAGTGCTGTATCTTGGTTGCAGGGAGTTACAGAGCTAGAGAGGTTATGCCAAGAGCTACATCTTGATAGGTTCGATATGTGATAACCTGGTTTGAGACCGCAATGTCATTATGTAAGACAGAACCACGTGAGGACACTGAGCTGTGCCTCCTTCTGTGTTCTTTGCAACTTCTCGTGAATCTATAATTATTTCAAAGCCAAAAGTTAGGAATTTTTCAAAAACCCATTCCCTGGGTTGTTTCTACTCTCGAATGAATGTCTACACTTCTAATAACCTTACACATGTTTTAATGCTTTACAATTTCAAAATGCTTCTGCACAGATGAAATGATGTCATTTCAAAGGTAAGTAACCCTGTGCCACAGCTGTTCTGACGTCCCTGTGAAAGACAAAGAAACCAAGGCGCATGTGTGTTCAAGGGTCTACAACTGGCGTATGTGTTGGGGGGAAGGGGGAAACTCAGATTCCAACCCAATCTATTTTCTCATCTGCAAAATAGGGGGAGAGGCAAACCAGAGGCAAGCCAGAGATGGCCTGTGATGACACAGACAGTTAGGACACCACAAAACGCATGCTTTGGGGGACACAGTCTGGTCTACTTCTGGATCTGGCCAGGCACAAGCTGGACTCCTGAAGGTTCCAGAGCGGTGCCAGACCCACAGAGGAGACTCATCCATGCTGCGTGGCTGGAGGCATGTGAGTGGGGGAGTTAGGGCCCCCATCTCCTGAGGGTAGAAGTGTTGGGGTGAGAATCCCATGGCCCCTGGAGTTCCACGTTTCCAGAATGCCTCGCCTCTCTGGCCTCTCTCCTCTGCCTCCATCTTCCCTTCCTGGGCTTCATTCCATCACACCCCACAGACCCTAATTAATGAGATACTCTATGCCAAGGCAGTAGGCGCTGAGAATGTCTTACCAGATTAGTGAAGATGTATGTGTAGTAGGCTGACACCATCCCTAGTTCAGCTGCCTGAAAATGGAAGAGAAGGAGATTAGAGAGGAAAAATAAACCCACCAAAGTGAGTAAACTGCAAGGGTTTCCAGTCTAGGCAAATGTCTGGCCCACAACTTTCCAGCGTCACACAGATAGGACATTTGATTGGTTCTTTCATCCCCTTTGACCTTGAAGGATGGAGCTTAGAAACACTGGTTTCTAGAGTAGGGTGTCTCCACCTCCACCCTGCTCCCCACTCCCACAAAGCCCCCGCCCCCAGTAGCTGATGTTCTAATGTATCCGACATTCGCATGGCTATCACCTGATATCACAGAAACCAAAATGACTAAAGGAAATGAAGCAAAGCATAAAACAGACTATCTAATAATCATCTCCATGACTTTGAACAGTAACAATGGCTAACTTACCCACTGTTTCAGAGATGCCAAGCACTAGAAATCATTTCTTTTGGATTAACCCAACGGGGTAAGGACTAACAGGGAAATCTGACAGGCGAGGAAACTAAAAGGCCAAAGGCTGAGTCACCTGTCCCAGGTCACCCGTTGCATAAATGGAAGAGACACAATTAAAGTCAGGCAGCCCAATTTCGTGCTAACCAAACTGGATTCCCCTGGAGGACTGAACTCCCGGTGCAGCCCTCTGAGGGGCAGAGGCAGACGGGCATCTGTGGGTTGCAGACAATTCCCCAGGGAACTCCACCTGCTGCCATGCAAGTGCAGGAGACCCCTTGGTCTGCACTGACAGAGGAAGCAGGTGAGCCATTTGCACATTCGGCCTTCCCTTGTAGGAAGGAACAAGTTGCAGGTGACTTGACTCCCCCGCGACCAGAACACGCCAGAGCGCTGCCACCCCACAGTGGAGACTGGCTACTTCAGCGCTGCCTCCTTTTGTCTGATCTTTGGAGCCATCATCAACGCCCCTTGCCAACCTCCCCTGCCAGTGTGCCCGGCTTTGAGTGTGACAGGTGTTACAGAAACTGACAAGGAGGCAGGGTAGATAATGAGACCCACTGTCCCCAGGTCCCCCATCCCTCCTGACAGCCGGTTAGATTTTCATAATGCATCCTCCAGCCCTGGGCCACTGGGAAACTGCTTTTGTCATGACGACTGAGGTGCATGGGGGAGAAACAAGACCAGTGATGATTGCATTTTCCTCTGACATAGTGCTCATCTCCCAAGGAATTCCAGTAATTTTGGCAGCATTCTTAAAGGAATCCTCCCAGGCTCCTTGGAAGAGCAGGCAGGGACAGCCACATCACCTCCATTCAGAGGGGAAACTGACATGCAGAAAGGCTTAGGGACTGGGGCGAGCTGATGCTGGGGTCACAGTCGAGCTCGGGGAGTCCTAAGGCGATGGGAGGTGCCTTCTGCCTTCAGCTAGGCCTTGTCGTCCTCCACTCCCAAGAGCGTGCTACAGCATGAGGTCCAGCCGTGTCTCCTGCACGCCCACGCCTGTCATCACCACCTGGCCCACGCAGCCCACTGGCTACAGGGGTTGGGCTGGGGGTAGGGACTAGGAGAGGGCACTCTCGGATGGTTAAAACCCATTTTGTGAAATCTGCGGTCCTGAAGATAAAAGACAAGAGATCCTTGGTTTTTAAGACCCGAATTCTGGGTAAACATGGAGTTTTCTGCTGGAACAGCCGCTCAATAAAGTGGGGGATTACTCTGCAAATCCTTCTGAAATCAAGAGACAGCAGAGTGTTGCCAAGCTCCGAGGCCAGGCTCACGGGAGCACAGCGAGTTTCCCAGAAGCTGTGTGCACTCTCTGCTCCCCACACTCCAGGAGCCCCCCAAGGCTGGGTTGTAACCTGGAAAGAGGAGCACAGGACCCCAGAGCAGCTGGGGACTGAGCCCCGGCCTGGGGGGCTTGGCGGTTTGGTTCACGAGAGTCACATAGGAAGAAAGGGAACAAGCCTCTGGAAGCTTCCCTGGGAGGCTTTGGTGGGTTTGGTGCCAAGGCAGCGAAAGCTGAGGCTGATGGGTGGTCTCTGAGAAGGCTACCACTGCCCCCAGCAGAACAGTCTGCTCATGATGCTCATTGCAGAGGGGATTCCGTCAAATAAATGTGTTTTTAATGAAAATACCCAGTACTGGCAAGGGAGCTACAGGGCACCTTACACGGCTGGTGGGATTGTACATTGTTATGGCCTTTCTGAAAGATAATCTGGTGAATCATTTCAAAATCCTGAAAAGCACGCATACCTTTAACTCAGCAATTCCACATCTAGAAATTTATGTTAAGGCAATATTCATGAATGTGCATGAAGATTAATGTACAAAGATGTGAACCCCAGGAATATTTATGATAGGGAAAGATTAGAAACCACCTGTGTCTCCAACAATAAAAGACTGGTTAAATAAATTATGGACACCCATATGACAGAAAATGATGCAGCCATTGAAATAGCTGCAGAAAAATACGTAATGATATGGGGAAAATGCATGGCAGATAGTTAAGTGAAGGAAAGCAGGTCACAGAAGAGTAGGTGCAGTGCGGTAATTTTGTAAAGAAAAAGAATTGTGTCTATCAAGGCATAAAAGATAGACATCACATTTAATAGTGGTTAACTCTGGGTAATGGAATTGTGAATGATCTTTATTTTCTTCTATGTACTTGTCTGTACTTTGCAAAATTTCAAGAGTAAATTAAAAATCAAACCAACAGAGCCTAACAGCATCTGCTGGAAATCAAGAAATATTCTTGAGAATATTGAGAATATTGAGGGGTTCAGGGACAACTAGCCCAGACATAAGAGAAGAGGATAAGGAAGAAAAGAGAAAAATCCTGTGTCTGTGTGTGCACACAACTTGGGCCTTTGGAGCTGTGGAAGATTACTGTGGCGATGCCCAGGGGACGGGCCCTGTACTGGGAGAACTCATTCACACCTCTTAGGACCGGAGATAAAAACCAGGTGGGCAGGAAGGTTCAGAGAGAGGCGGGAGCGAGAGGGAGAGACAGTCCAGTGTCTGTGGGCCCCTCGCAGCTTGGCAGAGGGTAACGAGGGGCCTGGGCTCCCCAGTGGACCATGGCAGGTTGTGTTTAAACGTGCAATTAAAATGGCATTAGAAGAGGGCAGTGTGCCCGAGACGCTGGGGGAGCTGCTCGCTGGGAACTGCTGCGGAGTCTGGAAGTGGGGTGCTCTCTACCTGGGCTTGTACATCTCACCCAGCTCCAGTCCAGAAACTGCTACCTGGGGATTTCACTGCGGCCGTGTCCAGCTGTTTGTCCAGGGAGGCCCCCAGCCACCCGACTTCTGTAACAACACCCCTCCCAGAATCTCATGCAAGTCAGTTCTGACTGGGAGGTTTAGAAACTGCCTGTCTTGCTATCAGAGACAAGGGGTACAGGCTCTCCTCCTCATAGGACGAGCCTTGGGCAAAGCTGCTCATCTTCCAGAGACTCGGCTTTTCGTTCAGTGAAGACAGTCCCCCCAGTCACGTCACTGAGAGGATTATGCAGAAGTGACGTGGAGGCACTTTGTAGACTGCAGAACGCCATGGAAGGACCACACACAGGCGGACAGGTGGCAACACACACAGACAAGATGGTCCCAGCTTCAAAATGCAGAAATACTTGTGTACTGCTTGGCAGATAGTCAAGTGCCCTCCCCTCTGTCCTCTGCCCCCCTGGGAGCCCCAGGCCCCTCCTCAGAGCCAGCCCCTGGCAGGGTCTAGGCTTGGCCAGGTCTCAGTTGGTGGCCGCCCTGCTGGCCCAGGGGTCAGATAATTTGACAACCTCATTGTCTTTCTTCTTTCAGGAGCTGTTCACTGAAACGATGAACAGGGTAGAAGGCCCAACCCCGGTGCCTGCAGCCTCAGTGCTCAGAACAGCAAGGCAAGAGGGCCGGGGGAGGAAGACGGTGAGCTGGGGAGGAGGGAGGGGGCTGCGAGGTGCCACCCACACCCGCCCGGCCGGCTCCCACCTTCAGGAGGATGGTGTGGGACATGGAGGCGTTGGCGTGGATGATGATGGTGGCCGTCTTGTCGTCCCGGATCTCCTTAAGGAGCGGGGTGGGGTCCCACGTGTCATCCAGCATCCGGACCGAGAGTGTGTCCTTGGAGATAAGGAATTGCCGCAGCAGCTTCTCTAGGTTTAAAAGGCCTGGAGGGGAAGAGAGGGTGAGACCCCTGAGGGTCCACAGAGCTGCTGGGAACAGTCTAAAAAACAGCACCTGCTCAGCGGGCCTGAAGCAGGGTGGTGGGCTGGCCCCTCTGCTGGGGCTATGCAGCCCCATCTTAACCTGAGTCAGTTGCTTAACCTTGATGGGCCTCAGTGATCACATTTACATTAAAAAGAAGGGGCCTCCCTGGTGGCACAAGGGATTAAAGCGTGGCACTCTGAAGCTCTCCGTAGACACTGCTGCAGGAGTTCGGTCCTCTGCCAGCGAGGTGACCCACACAGTGCGGCAGACCTCTTCTGTCCTGCCCGCTGCTCCCCCTCAGCAGTGTATTTCAGTCCATCTGCCTGTTCTCTCTCCACTCTGTCTCTGGTGAATCCCCCCACCCCCTCTGGCCTGTACCCCAGCTCTTGTATGCATAGATAAATAAATCTTTGCAATAATAATGATAATAATAAAGAAAGGAGGCTCCCACGTGCCCTGGGCCTCCCTGACAATGCTCTGCTCAGGAGGGAAGAAGCACTCCTGTTACAGGGGCAGCAAGGTCCAGCAGCCGAGACCTTTTGAGATGCCCCCTGGCCTGGGTTCCTCTCCCTAACCCGGCCACTTACTCACTGTGGGACCTTTGCTTGTGGCCAGGTCTTCTGGCCTCAGTTCCTTCATCTGAGAAATGAGAACATGAACAGCATCCTAACACAAGCGTCGTAAGGATTACACAAGGTAACAGGTGAAGAATGGAGGCCTGAGCCTTCTGCTTGCACAGTAAACCCTCATAAATGTTACATCCGAGCCCAGGAAAGCCTGCGTTTCCATCCTGGAGGTGAGGCAGCAGTTCCCAGATCACAAGGCCCAGAAAACAGGTTAGCAAAACCCTTTGAACTCCTCTGAGCACAGTGACTGCATTAAGATGAGGTATTATGATGATTGGAAAGGAACAGGCTTTGAACTGCACTCCACAGGCAATAATGTGGGCCTAGAACAAAACAGAAATCTGGGAGTGTGAGCGAAGGACACTCTTCCTTGCCCCCCACCCAAGCTGTCTGCTGTCCAGGGGCAGAGGGGGGAGGAGTGACTCCCAAATGACGTCACTGAGACACAGGGACTTGATTCTGCTTCGTGTCTAAAAGGGCAGGCCAGAGGAGGCTGGGTGGGCATGGAGTGCCTGCTCTCGGCTGCAAACAGAGAGAGACCTACAGGCATTTGCCCTCCCAAGCAACAAGGGCAACATTTACTGACTTCTTCACACGTGCCGGCTAATGGGTTAGGCACTTCACAAGACTCACCTCACTAAAGTCATCACAGCAGTCCTCTGACATTTCCATCCCACAGAGGAGAGTATGAGAGGGTGAGCAGCCTTCCAGCCTTCCACACTGGTTTCATGGGGAGGGTTGGCTTTCTAACCCTAATGCCCGTTTCTACAGCGACTAAAGGGATCTTACCTACAGGGCAGGTTGAAGACTATCTGGAGAGGTCCCCTGCACAGCTTCCTCACCCTCCTGAGCCTTGAGACGCACACGGGAGAAGGGAAGGACACTCTGAGGAGTTCGGTTCCACGTCTCTCGTTTTGCAGAGGGAGGGCAGTGCTTCTTCACTGGTCACATGTGGCCACAGCTGGGTCAGAGCTCCCACCTTACCATTTCCTTCAACGCTCTCCCTTGAGACCAGGCTGTCTCTTGGGCCAAAACACGGCAGGAAACAGCAGGCCCAGACCCAGGGGAGACCCAGGGACACGCATCTGGGCTTGGAGAGCAAAGCCCATACTTGCTGTGCTCGGTTCACTAAGAACAAGGGCCTGGCATGACGGAGACAGGAGCGCTGGGAATTTGGTGCCAACTCTACTCCTCCATCAGAGGTCCTGGGAGAGAGGCTGGGGCAGAGAGGAGGAAGCCCAGGCCAAGTCTGCCATTCACAAAGAGGCTTCAGAAATGGCCCAGCAGGGTCAGCCACAGCCCGGGCTTGTCCTTGCCTGCCTTCCGCCTAAGGCCATAGGGACAGCTGCTGTCTGTGACCCCTGCCCCCAGCCCCTCACCAACAGCCACGATCCAGAGTGGCCCTGATGTTGCTGGGGTGTTCCCTGCCAGCCCTGATGTAGAGAGTCTGAATTCAAGCTCAGGGTCAGCCCTGGCTGGCTGGGTGACCTTGAAAGATCATCTGTCTTCTCAGAGAATCCATTCTTCATCTGCAAAAGGGGTGCGAGATGCGATCCCCAAGTCCGGCACCGGCTGATATGCTGTGGCTGGCATGGAGATGGGTCCCATGCTGACCCCGCTCTCCAGGACCCTGGAGCCCAGGCACCTGTGGCTGAGCCTCCAACAGAGTTCAAACCACATCCTGTGTTGACAGTCTAAGTACGTAGGTTTCCTGTGGGGCAGCTGCAATTGGCCTTCTATGGACGAGGGAGAAAATATTCACATCTTCCTCAGAGATGACATAAAAAGCCAAATCACACCTGCGCAGGGTCTGAGCACCTGAAGCCCAAGTGAGACCTTCTGGGCTTGCTAGCGGGGAGGGAGTGCGTGGTGGGATGTGGGAATTGGCAGGGCAGTGGAGGGGACCCTAGGGGCCTGCGATGTAGCAGGCAGAGTCTTTGGCATCTGGCCGGGAAAGAGGCCAAATCCCCTGGGAGTCTTCCAGCAGGCAATGAAATTCAGCGGGATGAGACAGGAAAGCCTGGGGGATAACAGCAGGATTTGCACTGCAAGGAAACGCCTGGCAAAGGCTGCCCAGGGGCCCCTCATTCCTTTAAAATTGGCAGGTGCCCTGAGCTCCAAAGGAAAAGAGTCCCCTGGATATCGGATAAGCTGGGGACCCTAGTCAAAGCCCAGCATGCCCCATCTTCCTGCCCCTCGGAATATTGGGGTGCGGCTCCCCCACGTCATACCAATTACTTTCTGTGTGCTGAGAAGCTGAGTAGGGACAAGATAGGGTGCAGAGTGCAGTGGGGGAGAGGAGCAGCGAGTGCCCAGGAGGGCTGCATCTGCACCCAGGATCTCTTACTCGCCATCCCTTTTCCCAGTGTGAACCCCACCGGGGGAACTAGAAAGAGCACAAGGCTATATATGGGCTGCAGCCCAACTCTGCCAGGTAGACAGCAGGTGTAGGTGAGCCCTACCAATGCTCTGCACCTCCGTGTCCTTATTCATTAAATCAGAGCAAGGACCACCTGACATGGTGAGGGAGAGGATGTCAGGGGAGCAGGGGGCAGCTGCTCCCCCCACACCTACTGGCAGCCTGCTGTAGCCTCATCCCATAACTTTTGTAGGACTTGTAATCCAAAACACAGCCCTTGGTTACAAACCAGACAACACATTTGATAGCGTAGACACACGCACATAGGGAGATACAGCATATATACTAATTATTTCATGATGTTGCATAGAAATCTCACTTCAGTCTTTTTGGTCTATCCCCATTATTGGTTGGTGAACTAAATTAAATATCTGGGGGGGGGGTGGTAAAAAGATATTCTACCTTCTACATGCTAAAGAGCAGCAGTGCTGAAGGGGACAGATTCCAAGTCCCGTGAAGGAAGAGGGTGCCTGACTGGAGGAGAGCAGGAAAGGCTGTCACAAGACAGACTTGATCTTGGCAACCTTCAGACCCACACCCAGGAACCAGTGGACAGAAGTCACAGGGAGACAGACCTAGCTCAACACAGGAGGAACTGGAGCTATCGAAAGATGGAGTGAGTTCCCCATCACTGGGGGTAATCAAGGAAAGACTGAAGTCCCTCTTTAAGGATCCTTGTAGAAGGAATTAAGCCAGTGGAGGGAAAATTGGGATATCCTTCACCCAGAGATTCTCTAATACTGTGAATTGGAAAAGAATACTTTTTAAATTCTAGGCAGGGGAAGGAATTTCCGGAACAGAAAGTACAGCTTAATTACATTACGAAAACTGTGAGTTTTTCAGTGCAGTGTGGCATTCTCCAATTATTATTCTCCACCCTGCTCTCTCTTTCATGGCGCTAAGGGTTTTTACAAAGGCAGCAGTCACCGGAGGGGTTAAAAGCTGCCCTCTTGCTGACTCCCCTCCACCTCCAGCCCAACCCTCCCCTTCTGGGGGACTCATGGAGCAGCAGGTGGGCCTGCCAAGTCCTAGGCTGAGAGAGACCCGGGGAACCTATTAGTCTCGCTCAGGATGCAATGGGATGGATCGATGAGAGAAGCAGCAGGACGCTGTTCTGGGAAGGAGGAGGGAGGCTGGCTTCTGGAACTGGAAGGCAGGGGTCAGGCGGTGGGCGGAGGCTGTGAAAAGCATGGCTTCTCATGGGACAAGGACACAAATCTCCAAGTACTATCCAAGTAATGGTCTGCAGGGGACACAGAAGACCCTGTGTCCAAAGATAAAAATAAACACCCATTTCTTCTACTTCTGCTGCTCTTGGCAGCAGATTTAAGTTCTGGACAGTGCTACTACTCAGGGGGTGGGCGGGAGTGGGGGGGAGGAGGTGCTTTTAAGTCTAGTGGGAGGTCTCTGAGGATGGCCACCTCAGGGGATGGTGGGGAGGATTTCAGGAGCTGAGGATTCTCCTTGTGCTCAATACTCTCCATTCCCCTGTTTCACCTGCTTCTGGGTGTGGCCCACACTCCTGGCCAGGAGGAGGGGAGCAGGCTGAGCCTCTCCATTTCCTCAGGCAGGTCTGCTGGCTGGCTTGGCCACCTCTCCCCACCCCCGCCCCAACCCACACCCCACCCCTCTCTGAAGGCCAGGCTGGGGTGAGGAGAACCAGGCCTCTGGGTGGCCAGAGGCTTTCTGACTTCGGGGTGTCTTTTGAGCAGCTGTCCCTGTCCTAGGAATGGTCTTTCTAAGCTTTTCCCCAGGGTTGATTTAGCCGCACAAGTGGCCAGGGAGGCAGTTGTTCTTAATATTATGGGTGGAGATAAAATCACTGAAGCAGGACGGAGGCAGTGACTGAGATCACTGAGCTGGGGATCCTGGCACAGGCCTAAGTCCAAACCCAGGTTTTCTGGTTCTAGATTCTGTCCTCTGATTCACCACTGGAATTAGTAAGGGAGGACCCCAGTCCTCCCAAGAGTAGGGAGATGTTCCTCATGTCTGCCCTTCCACAGAGAGGATGAGATGCCACAGAGTCCACCTTGTCTGAGATCACTTAACACCTTTGGCAGAGTGTTTGGCATGTAGTAAATGCTCAACAAGTGGTCAATTTTGTGTCCCTGTGAGCAAAAGGCCTCCCACAGTGCCCCCTGGAGACAGCACAGGGAAAGTCCACTACTGTTCCCCTACTCCCCTGGCTATGGATAATTCCCCCACTCCCCCATTCTCCACCAGATTCAGCCATAGCAGGGCTGCAGAATGGAATGATAGTAATTAAGTGTAGATCAGGTTCTGGACACAGCTCCTTTCCACCCAATTACTGTGAGAGGTATTATTAGCCTCATTTCGCAAAGGAGGAAACTAAGGCTCAGAGAGGTAGAGTGACCTGCTCAACATCACACAGCTCAGAAGCAGTGGAGTTGCTTGGCTGGACTATACCTAGATGGCGCTCTTTTTACTGTACTATCTTGCATTTCTTTTCAGCTGCATTTCCTCCCCAGGACATCAGAGCTTATGCCTTAACAGCCTGAACTGAATTTAGCAAGCACAAGGTTTCGGGGCAAAGCCCAAACCTTTGCTTGCTCTGTCCTTGTTCAAAGGGATGCAAGGACAGAAGGAAAGGAAAAGCCGTGCTTGCAGGCACTCCCTAGGCAGGGATGCTGTGTCTGTCATCCCATTTAATCTCCTCAGTCACCCTGGGAAGGCAGGGGAGACACCAGAGGCTACAGAATGCCCAAGTCATGTTCCCAGGATCACAGAGGTAGTAAATAAGTGGCAGGAGACTCTGTGCCCAGGACAGGACACTCCGCCATGAAGAGGGATTTAAAATACTTGGAAAGAAATGCCAAGGAAAGCGTCACTAACCAAAGGAGTATTTGATCTCTGTGTGAAGACACCAAGGAAATACACAACACGCCACACTGTGGCCACAGGAATCCAGAGTCCTGGGTCCAGCGTGAGGGTCTCAAAGGGTAGCTCTGTGGCAGGGCTGGGTGATGGCACCAAAGAAGGCTTAGGGCCAACATGGGGAACCCCAACTTTCCTTGGAAGCCCCAATAGCCATCTGCCCCAGCATCTGTAGGGGTGATCGGGAGAACCATGCCAGGGCCCTTCCTTCATTAGAACTTGGCATTTATAGAAGTTCAGGTACTTTTTTCCCATTAAAGAAAAATAATAATATAACCTGCAAGAAATCTCTGCTTGGTCCAAAACCTGCTTATTAAAAATCTACTTTTGGGAAGAGAGTAAGTGGCATGATTCCCCACGGAATGGTCTCCGTTATGCATAATTTCGGTGACTGGGAAACAGAATTAGATTCCTGTTCTTAATTCGACGTGCAGTGTCTCTTGGTCCTGCATTAATAAGGAAGATGGAAGAGTGTCTCCTCCCAAGCTCTCTGCTGCATTTCCCTTCAGTGCCTCATTTCTGCATCCTTTGATTAAATTTTTAATCCACTTTGTCCTCAAACTTCTCCTGCTTTGCCCCACCTTCCTTCCTCCGGCCCTGGTTGGTGGGGCTGAGTCACTCTGCAGAGTCAATGTCAAGGGCGCTGTGTGGTGGACGAGCCCACTGGGCGGGGGCTGGCCTCTCCGGCACTGGGACAGACTCATCCTGTCAAGGACCTTGTCTGCGCTATGCCGCCCCACATCCTGCTCAGTCGGGGGGACAAGGGGACACAGTGTCCTTCATCTGTATCTGCCATTCTCCAACACTCTATACCTGCCAGGCAGAGGCTGTCCTGAGCCACTGCTCTGAGGTGCGTGTGCAGCCTGGCAGAGAGGGGCGGGGAGGTGGGGGGAAAGGAAGAGTCAGAGGACCTTGGTTTTGTAGCTTTGCCACCTACCGGGTGTGTGACCTGAAGCAAATCCCTTAACGGCTTCAAGATAGTTTTCTCAGTTCTAGGACGACTGGGGTGGAAGGAGGTAAGGTGGAAAAACATTAAGTGAAAAAGCTTTGCAATCCTTGAGAAAATGAATGTCAAGGAGCATCATAATTCTAATGGACAGGACCTCCGGCTAGGAGGAAACAGTAGCTAGCGCAGTATTCAAAGCCCATTAGGTGCTTAACAAACATCTGAGCAACTTACTTTGCAAAACTCAGGAAGACCCAAGGCAGAGCAAATTGGATTTGACTAACAGCAAGAGGGACTGTGGCTTGACATAAGAAAGACTTCCATGGCTGTTGGACACTAAACCCAGCACTGAGGAAGAACACAGGGAATCTTTATCTGGAGCAACGTATGGCTTGTCCTCGGCCACTCGACATCCTCACCAGTTCAGTCCTGCTTGAGGGGGCTGCTGGCGGAAACTTCAGGGGGGGCCCTTGGTGCCATTCATGGTGGGAGGAGGCCACACACACGAGGAGGCACCCGGCATGTTTCCCAACTGCATTCCATCAAATACCAGCATCCTATTGGCTTTTGAATTAGCATCCTTCGGGGACTGACAGTCAAACCAGTTTGGAAAATGATACGGTCAACAGCTGTTCTGGCCCCAGCACAATTCAGAGCATCCATGCTACTGGGTGCTATCAGTCTCCATGAGGGGAACCAGAGTAGAAAGACAGAATAGAATCAGATATTTCTGTATTTTTGGCCATGAAATTCTTGGCTCACAAAACACTTAACATCTAACGCAGTTGCACTGCCCACCTGTGGCTCTCGAGCTCTTGAATGGTGAACTAACTAGATTTGAAATTTTTATTTTATTTATTCATGTAGTTGTTTTTATTGAAGCACTAATGCACGATAACGTATCAGTTTAAGGTGTGCGTCATTATAAATCAACATCTGCATACACTTCATAAAATGGGGAATTCTAACACGTCCACACCCATTAGGCTATAACAATTTAACTACAGTAAATAAAATGTACACATCATTGGGCCTCAGTTACTTTAGTTCATGGTAGCACAGATCAACCTGGATGGAAGAACTGAATGACACTACACTGGAGGCAGCCAGGTACATGGGCCTGGTCCGGAAGTGGTCCTGGGCCCCCATGGTGGCGGAGAGGTTAAAGTCTCATCACTACAAAGCTATCTGCAACCACTGCAGCATGAGTTCGATCCCCACCAAGGAAGTGACCCACATGGCATGGCAGACCTCACCTGACTCACCCATTGCTCCCCTTAAAAGTGTAGTTCAATAGATCTGCCTGTTCTGCTCCCTACTCTGTCTCTGGTGAGTTCTTTCAGCAACTCCCTCCCCACACCTCTGGCCTATACTCCAGTTCTTGCAAGCATGCATAAATAAAATAAATCTTTTTTTTAAAAAAGTGGTCCTGATGGCAAATAGGGAGAAGATTTTGTTTTCAGATGCTGCAGGGACTTCAAGGGCCCACAGAGTGAGGCCTGCACAGGTGAGCTGTATGGACACTGGTACCTGGGACTTGGGCACTGGGACCCAGCGGTAGCTACTGGCCAGCACCTGCTGTACCATGTGGGGACACAGCTGTCACCAGGAACACAGACACACAGATTTGTCAGAAGGGGCTGGCTTAAATTAGTCAAATCTCACAAACACCAAATTTATGTCACAAATTGTCTGAGAGTCAGAGAAAATGGATTTCCAAAACCTGCATTTGCAAAAAAAAAAAATGCTTTATCAGGAATTGACCTTGAACCTTGTTCCATCAGCAAAACCAGCTCTCTAGAGAAACAAGCTCTTCAACCCATCATGTACAAATGCATCCAATTTTATATCCCCCCTCCCTCTTTGTAGCTCCTTAACAATGCGGCTGAAAATATGGGAATTGAGTTTGCAGATTCAAAAAAGGTTTGGCAGTTGGCCAGTCTCCCTGCAACTCAGTTCCTCGCCGCTTCCTCCAGGCCAGGGAGCTCCTGGACGGCACCCTCACTCACACACAAACAGCCAAGGACACATGGGGACACCCAAGCCCACTGGCTATTCTCCCCATGACCTGCGGGGGTCCTCGTGCCAGGTGTCTCTCAAGCCAGGGTCAAATCAACCTGTGGCAATGGACCCGACCTGCCTGGGGGCAGGACCAGCCTGGGGAGACTTACATTCTGCTTTGGCACAGATGAGGCAGGCGGTGGTGCAGTTGAAGAAGTTCAGGATCCCAGCGACAGCCACGCTGATGTCGGTGTTGCTGGGGTGGAGGTTCAGGGTTGTGAATCTCTGGAACTGGAACTTGATAAACTCCTCTGGGGCCACTTTGAAATGAGGGACCTGGGGAGTGGGGGAGTAAAAGTAGGCAACAGGGAGGATCCACAATGAGTGAGAAAGAGAATGGAGGGTGAGAGGAGGCTTCGGAGGTCGGGCTCTTCCATGCCAGTGGGCGAGGGCAGCTGTGGGACCCAGTACCCAGTGCTGGGGAGGGGAAGACAGGAACGGCTTAAGGCAGGAAAAGCCAGGGTGAAAGACTCTGTGGCCTGAGATCTGCACTGTGCCCGTGGCATGGGGGCCCCAGTCCTGAGAGGGCAAAGGAATAGATCTTTGTTCTAAGAGGAGCTGTCAGAGCTGGGCAGCAAGACCGAGGGCCCTTAAAAGGACAATAATATTTTATCTGTAGCTAATAAATCATAGCAGAGGTGGCAGAAAGAGAGAAATCATCAGCCCAGCAGGTCAACAGGTGTATAAACCAGCTCCTGACAAACTTCCTGGGTGAAGTGCTGGACAGGGGCCTCCCCAGATCAGCCCACGGGGGAGGAAGCACCACAGGTGGAGAAAGCGTGGAAAAAGCCTCCACATGGAGCCAGGTAAATAAATACCTGCTTTGGCTTCATTAGGCAGTGTCAGCTTCCCTCTGCATCTATTACAGGCACTTCCGGGAGCTGCTGCCCTGCCTCCAGCCTCTCTTCTCCAGGAAGAGATGTTAACAGGTTGTGATGGCTGCTTTATTGGTGGCCCAGGCTATTGTGGAGGTAATGGGAAAGTTAAAACGCAATAAGCTGCCATCCACCTTGATTTTATTCTGTCACCCTCATCCCTGGGACCCAGAGCCAGGGGAGTTGAAGGCACGTGGTGTCTTTAGCGGAGGATGCTGAATCCTGAACCTCCCCTTAAGACCACTGCCCTGTGGGAGAGCCAAATTACTTGTGTGTATTGGAGGGGGGAGGTTGAACGGATATAAAAAAGCAAGTGGGATTGAGGATAGATAACAGAAAGAACTTCCTGATGGTGAGTCGATGGGCTTCTGGGAGGGACTAAACAGAAGAATAGCAGAAGCTTCTTTGTCTGTGCTGGCCCAGAGGCCTGGTGACGTTGGGGTTCTCTCTGTGGGATTCTGCTACCTATAGTTTTAAGTTCCTAGAAGAAGTCAGAAACCAAAGCTCCTCTGAGGTTAGAAAAGGGGAAGGTAAAGATTTGGCAGACACTATGGAGAAAATGCCTAAGTTCAACTAAAATCAGCTCTTGAGTCACAGAGAGAAAGCAACCAATGTTTTCTAGCAGAGTCAGGGAAATGCAGACTTGGGGAAAGCCTGTGGGTTATGATAAAAGACTGAAAAAGAGCAAAGTTTACCTGAGCATCTCACAAAAAGGGACTTTCTTCTCCTTTCTACTTTGCATCCCAGACCAGCTGTCTAAAGTGCAAAACAAATGGGCTTTGAAAGGAAAAAAACATCACAAGAGGCAAGACAGGGTCAAGGCTGGCTGGCCTACGCCTTTGAGCGTCTCTGACCAAGGTCTCCCTGGGTGGCCCTCTGCACCGACAGGTCCCATAGCAGCTAACTCCTCCACCCCCATTAGAATGGACCCTCAGAGATACTTCTGAATCCTTGGACCCCACAGATGGGGGTGAGGGTGGGGACTGCAGATACCAATAAGTGCTTCTTAGAGCGTTGGGGTGATAAATTGAGACCTTGGACATGAAGACCAGGATAGCTGCGTACCTACCACGCAGTAACTGTTCAGGCAAGACCTTTCTCAATCCCTACCATGCTTCTCCCACAACCGAGACTCCTGAAACACTCTTGGGCAGGGGGTGAGGGTGAGTGTCCCCTGCAGGAAGGGGGATGGGTAGGAAGACCCCAGCACTCCTGCCATTTTCCAGGCTGCTGGGGAATTAGCCCGCTACCCTGAAGGGCCCACGCAGGGAGCGCTCAGGCCAGTCCTGCTGCAGGACAGAGACAGATCCATAATGGAGGTGTAGGTGCATATGCATCCAGAAGGTTTCCATGGAGGCAGGGGACACAAAAAGGTAAGTAGGACAGAAGGAAGGGCAGCAAGGCCGAAAGCAGCGACCACAGAGCTATGGAGTTGCTGGCCCCACTTCAAGTTTCAAAAAAAAAAAAAAAAAGCATTATGACAACTCGCTCTCTTTTCCCTAGGACCGAGGGGATTCCGTGCAAGGCAGTTCAAGCTTTATGAAACCTTACAATGAATGCTTAATCTGAACAGAAAGCAAAGACTGCTCCAGAAGGGGTGTGCCCAGACTGAAGAGGAGTAACCATCTGGCCACTTCCTGGGAGGCACACCTGTGTGGCAGGTCAACCACAGGGTTGGTGGCTGCAGTAGGGGTCACCCCGATCTGGGATGCCAAGCAGGGTTAAAGGAACGTCGGGTGCGATCACATCCTGGAACCCGAAGAAGTGGCCGTTCTGGAATGAGGATGAAGGTGGGGGGGCTGCGGAGGAGTGAGGGAGTGTGAAGGAGGAGAGGCAAGAGCAGAAGCCAGGGAGCAGAGCAGGGGACATGGGGAGCTTGGCCCCCTCACTCGGTGAGGGTCACAGCAACAGCCGGAACAGCAAGCTGCTACAGATTTGAGCCACTGCTGGAGCGCAGCAAGAGAGATTTAAAGGAAACATCAGGTCCTGCTTCCTGGGGGCCTGGCCTGTGAGGATCTGGAAGGGGCTGCAGTGAGACAGAGGCGTCTTCTCCGGCTTGGGCAGGCTCAAGAGTCACCTAAGGACATCTGGTGGGGGGGGGGGCACCAACACACAGAAGTGCATGACAAGAGGCTTGGGGACGTGGCCTACAGGACCAGCGGGGTAGAACCAGCGTCGCCCAGCAAGTTCATCTGCAGGAAACGAGCCTGAGAGGGGCTCGTAACAAGGAACACAGCCACCCCACCCAAGACCTCAGGGACCTGTCAAGCCCTTTGGTCCTACGAGAAATGGGGGTCTTGGAGGGGGTAGGTTCCCGGGGACCTGGACTGAGCAAGGGCCCACCCGCCTCTGTCGGGGCAGAGTTCAGTTCTTGCTGAGGTCAATTCTGCCTCTCAGAATTAGACCCTCCCAAGGGTAAAGTTCCACGAAGGCCCAGCCTCCGACCCCTGGGCAGGTACAAGGTGGAGTCCCCCTTTCCCTGTCCCTCTGCCAGGCATCCAGATCCCCACCCCCAGATTCTGACCTCGGCCCCTCACCACTAAGTTCTCCATGCAGAAGGAACTGGCTAGAAGGCACTTGAGGTGACAGGTGACTTGGCACTGTCTTCTAGGGAGCTGTCAGAAGGGGAAGGAGTGGTCTAGTCAGGAAGGACTAGCAGAGATTCCAGCTGAGACAGAATCTCTCCATTCCCGAGTCTGTTTTCTCTGGGGAGTGAGAAGGTAGTTGATGGGATAGAGAGCAGGTGATTACCCAAAGTCACCCAAGCCCATCTTGTCCTGGGGAACTAGAACTAGAAGGAATGGGCCTGTCTCTTTAAAACAGAGGCTCCAGCCAGAGGTTCCAGCAGGGGAGGAATTCCTGATTAAGAAGCCATCACTCATGGAAACAGCCCAAATGCCCAAAAGTGGATGACTGGATTAAAAAGATGTGGTACATATACACAATGGAATATTACTCAGCAATCAAAAAAGATGAACACAAGCCTTTTGCAGCAACATGGATGGAGCTGGAAGGGATCGTGCTTAGTGAAATGAGCCAGAAAGAAAAGGGAAAATACCAGATGGTTTCACTCATAGCAGGAGTATAACGGACCAGGGGAGAAAATAATAATAATAATGATGAACAGCCATATACCAGAAAAATTTTACGAGGGTGGAGTGGGGAATGGGATCAAGAACAGTGTGGGGAAGGAAATGCACTGGACTGCGGTGATGGCACACGGGTGATCTGGTGATGGGAAGCCCACGGGGATTGCAACTGAGATGGAAAAAGGCACAAAATGATGTAAAAAAAAAACTATTATATTATTAAAGAAGAAGAAGAAGTAATTGCTGGAATTGGCAAATGAGAAAGAAAGCAAAATCAAATCTCTTTTTGAGAACTTACAAAACTATTTTGAGCAAGATAAACGTACCAATGCCTTCCCTGAAAACATTCTTCCTGAAAACCCCAACACAGAAGCTGTGGTCCAAGGAGCTGCACTGCAAAGCTCAGATTTTCCGCCTTCCTCCTTCCCCCACCCTCGTGGCTCCCACACACCACCATCCCAGTCGCACTGTCCAGGGTCCCCCTGCAGAATGCTGAGGCTCAAAGGAGCTCAAGGTGAAAATCTTAGGAAACCCTCTTCCATCTCAACACAGGGGAATAAATAAAGTGTTTTGTGACAGTGGTTGTCAGTAACACCAACCAGGCCTTGATGGGCTTGTCAAGAACCCAGGACAGCTCTAGGACGTGGCCCAGCTGCCAGCCCACGCGTGTCCCCCAACCTGGCCCAGCACTCACCTCCTTCTCCCCACAGATGTTGCTGATGATGGAGCTGGAGGCTGGGCTGGAGGATGGTCCCAGGACAGCGACCACGCCTTTGGGCAGGATCTGACACACTGAAGCCAGCAGCAAAGGGAGCAGGAAAGGAAAGAGGCGATCGTCAGCTGGGGTACAGGCCGACAGCCCCCTGAATGTGGCCCAAGTCCCCCGATCTCCCCGCGCAGCCCCTCACCTCCTACATGTTTCTTCCCACGAAGCTGCCAAACCTAATCCCCCTTCTCCTCTGAACTACGCGGCTCCTGGCAGGACACCTTTATTGGAGTTTATGGGCGGTATTAAATGAGGAAATGACCCAGGTTATGACAACATACGGCCACAGCCAACAGGGTGCATAAATTGTCGGGGCTGTCACCAAAGGACAGAGGCTAATGGCAGCAACCTGCAGATTCAGCCCTGGCAGGGCACTCAGGGCGGGGCTGGGGGGCGCTGAGCATCCCGCTGGCAGGATGGACGGCAGCCACAGCCATCTGTCAGGTCCCCCTCACATATAAAGGAGAGTTGGGGAGAAAGAAGGCAGACCAGCAGAGGGATGAACTGTAGCAAGGATGATGGAAACAGAAGAAAGTGTCTCAGCTGAAGTAAAAGGGAGCAGCAGAGACAGAGAGAGAATGTGAGAGTGGCCACATCCCTCAAGGCCACTGCCCCCTCACTCAGACTCACTGCGTTGGCTGCCCTGAGGGGTGAGGTGCTGCTGACCAACTCCCAGCCTCCCTGCCCGTGGAGGGCACCTTCCTGCTCTGTTCTCACACTCACCTGTCAAGGGCACCTCCTTCCACCTTCCTTGACTCCTCTAGGTGGGATCAACTCTCCCCAGGGCTCTCGAGGCCTCAAGGCCTCCCGGTTTGTCTCTGTTTAGATTTTAAGCTCCTTCGGGGCAGGAACTGAATCTTATTACCTCTCACTCCCCACTTCTTCACCCCTCCGTGGCCCACACAAAGATGGCAGCGGCCTGCACACTTCCTATTTGTAGAGAGAAGAGGGGATGAACGGGACATGTGGCCAATAGAGAGGATCTAAGAGTTGAAAACGCTGAGAAAGGAAGCTGTGGGAGAAGGAGACAGAGTGAGAAGGTGCGTGCGGTCTTTCTCAGGACACACACTGATATCGGGACCGAGGCGCTGTGCTGGAATGTGCACCCGGCTTCCTGGTAGCCCCACAAGATGTTCTGTGTGTGAAACTCAGCTTGGCTCTGGTCATGAGCTTTCGCTCTCCTATCAGGAGTCATGCAGAGCCATTTCCCAGACAGGTAAACTGAAGCTAAGGAATTTATCTAAGGACCTCACTGAACCCTCAGGGCCCAGTGGTATCCCGGATTGAGCTGCCAAACCCTTCTGGACCTGCTTCCTCATCTGTAAAACTGCGATACAGATAGCACCTTTTTAGTAGGGCTGCTGTGCAAATTAAAGTGAGGTACTACATACAGAGTGTTTAATAGATAGTTCATCATTATCCCCAATTTACAGATGGGGCAACTTGCACTAATTTTAAGTAGTCTGTTGGAGCTCACATAGGTAACAGATGGTGGAGCTGGCCTTGAGCCCAGGGGCCCATCTGGCACTGAAGTCCAAGCTCTTCCTTTTGCCCTGTTAGCTCCTCAAGCTCATGCCCATAGTCACCCCTGACTCTTCCTCTCCTTCCCTCACTGAATCTAGCCCCTCACTATACCAACTGGGCCCAGACTCTACCCACCTGTCCTGCTCGCTCACTGTCACTGCTCCAGGTTTGCTCTTTTACTACCACCTGCCTCCTAAGAGGTCTCTCTATTGCCACAATTCTCCATTTCTAATTCGTTCTCCAACCTGGGAGGCCAATTATCACCCTAAAACAGAGGTTAGTGGGCTCCCACAGAGTGGAAAGCTAGTTAAATTTATCTCTGCATCCTCCATCCCTAGCACAGGGCCCAACTTGGAGTTATGAGCCCAATAAATAGTGTAGAACCATATCGTGTCACTGCTCAACACTTTCCATGGAAAATCGGAAATGAACTCAACGTCCAATCGTCATGGAATAGTTATCTAATAGTGTGAGTTATTTACCCAAATTGAATATTATGTAGGCATTTAAGATGCTTATAAATGGTTTACAATAAATTAAAGACATTTACTTAATGCTATTAAGAAAAAAGCCAGATATAAAATGATATGTATATCTATATAAGGCTACGACTAAGCAAATATGGAGAACAGTTAAGCACTGAGGAATGATCTGGAGATGTTATGAAAGTCCACATTTATTGAGTGTTAGTTATGACCCACATGCAGCCCTTTACATGAATTGGCTTATTTGATACTCCAAACAACCCGATGCATGGGTACTATTAGTATGACCTTCATTGTACAGATAAGAAAGTAGGACATGTAAGTTAAAGAACTGAGGCAAAATTCAAACCCTCAACCCCTAGTTCAGATTCACTCCCTTCACCACCGCACCACACTGCCTGTCACCACTAGTGGTGATCCACTGGGTGGTCATGGAGATCACCTTGGCCGCTGGAACATGGGGTGATGCTCTTCCCTTTCTCATCTCTCATGAGCATGTAGATATTCCTTTCATAACATATCATTATTTTTTTTAAAGATTTATTTATTTGTGCATACAGAACTGGGCTACAGGCCAGAGGTGCAGGGGCGGTGAAAGGCTTCACCAGAGACAGAGTGGGGAGCAGAACAGACAGACTGATGAAGTACACTGCTGAGGGGAGCAGTGGGAGGGTCAGGAGAGGTCTGCCACGCCATGTGGGTGACCTCAGGGGCGGGGATTGAACTCATGCTGAAGTGGCTTTAGCTTCTTAGTGCTGTGCTTTAACCCACTGTGCCACCAGAGAGGGCCCAACACATCATTATTTTAAAAATGTCACTGTGAAAAAATCCAAAAATCCAAATCAAGGCCTTTCCTTTCCAGCCCATTCTCTCTGCTTCTCCACACCACCTCACCTAGACTATACTGTGGATTTTCTACCTGAACCTAATCCTAGGCACTTCTCTTTGATGTGACCAGGGCTTCTTAAACTAGATATGGGTAGAAGCCTGTGAACATTTTGGGGGAGAAATGACATTGTTTTCTCGAACTCCCAAATGAATCTTAGCACAGCACTCCCCTTCTAATCTGAATATAGCAATAAACCACCGTTTAGTGACACTACTGTGACAGAGTCATGACAAATCACCAATGTTTTCATGTCACATCACAGTGCTGGAAACATCCTGAAACGTCATTTATATTCATAATTCCTTAAAAATTATACTAGAAGTTGGAACCGGTGCTATGGCCATTTATGGCTTGGCCATTTAACACATTAATAAAGAAGTACTTAGCACTAGTAAAATACTGTGACTGTTATCTCCTTATAACCGGCTTCCGTGGCTACCCTTTATTTTATTCACTATAAAAATACTTGACTAAAAATAAGTTCATTCATGTCCTCAGAGCACCCGGTTAGGCCTGCTCTTGCCCTTTCACCTGGTAAATCCTTACAGATCCTTCAACACCCAGCCCAGATCTTCCCTGTGTTTGTATCGCACTGTGGTCTGAGTCTACTCAGTACTAGAGTTGCCTAAGAGACAGGTTTGCTTCCCTATTCTCTGAAGTCTTGGCCAGCTTCTGCCCCTAGTTGTCTCATTATGCTGGACCTGAATAGAAGTTTCTCCTAAAAATAAATTCTTATAAAAGGCCACAGTCTCTGTTCCCAGTTACAGAATTCAAAAGACTCTGAAACTGGATGGTCTTCAGCAAACTCATTTGGTGGCAAAATCTTATCTAAATAAAGAAGTGAAGCTATTTATAATATACATTTGAGTATGGGTGGTGCCCCAAGTGCCATTGGAAAGACTAGTTAATGTATGTATGGAACACACTGTAAGCACCGTATGACCTTGCCGGGATCTGGGAAGTTCTAGATTTTAAACACATCAGGTCTCAAGAACCAATGCCTATTACTCCGAGTGTCCATCTATTATCGCTCTCACTGGATAGAAAACTCCTGGAGGGCAAGGGTCATATCCGGCCAGACCTGGCAGAAAAAGAAATGCTCCAGGGGCGTCTGCTCCCTGAATTGAAATGATCTAAGATGAGACTGGTGAAATTGAATCACCATCTTCCCAGCAGCCAGAGCCTGGCAATTTCCTCGGATCTGGGAATTGCCCTTTCATCCCCTATGAAGGACCCTGCTCAACAGAAACGGAAAAAAGGTTTATAACACGTCCTCAGTGCTGAAACCATTCTGATTTTGTAGGCCCCAGGCATCTCGGTGAGGGTGTCTGAGCAAGTGTGTGAGGGGCAGGAGAGGAGGGAGCCCCACTTTACCTCCGCCTCCCAGGGAGCAGGAAAGAGTGGGAACTGGGAGCCTGAGCACATTGCCATGGCAACCAAGTTTCTCAGCCAGCACAGGAGTTGGAAAGCAGCTGCGAGAGTGGCTGCTGGGATGGGATATTGTAAGAAGGGGGTTTTATTCCCCTCAAGATGCCAGCTGTGGCCTGCAGTTGAAGTCCCCTTAGAAACTGGCTGGTTAGCAGGGGCTCATGAGAACTTACGTCTCCCCTGAGTCTTCACTGGGAGGGAAGGGGTCTGGCTGTGATGCAGGTAGGCAGAGAGGTTAAATGTAGGTGTCACTGACAGCAGGTGCTCGTGGGAAGGGGCTGCCTCCTGGGCTGGACAGGAAGCAGACCCTTTCTCACGGACAGCGTGGTCCTCAGTGAGTTTCTGAGCCTGTGTAGCCGGCACCCTGGGATTCAGTTGCTGACAGCCCTGGAGCAGAAGAGGCTGGGAGGACCAGAGGACTTCGCATGAAGATGCCTCACAGTGCTCAGTCCCAAGTGTGCTGAAGGATGAGGCCGGTTGCGGTGCTGGCTCTGCTGCACCCCAAGTGCAACACATGAGGCCCCGAGCAAGCAAACAACGGCTCGACCAACACCCCAGAACCCTCCCCTGTGTGTGTGTGAAGCCTGCAGGAGCACGCATTCTCTACTCTCAGGGCAGACAGACAACTGGGTGAATGCACTGGCCTTGCAGGCATCCCAGCGGAGCAGGGAGGGGTGGGGTGGGGTGCCGGTCGCGTCCA